GGGCTGGGGTTGAGGAGTCTGCGTCGGGGGTGCTTGGCGGCGGTGAGGCGGGGTACGAGGGGGCCGGGGCCGTGATGGGGAAATCGGTGCCGGGTGGCGGTGGGGGGTGTTTGTGCAGGGTTCTGGCATGGGGTGGTGGGGGGGGACTGTTTGCGGTGCCGAGGTGGAGGGAGGAGGGCTGTGGCAGCCTCAGCCCTACCCCCGTGCAGGCGCGGGGCTGGGCAGCGTGGGGTTGCGGGCGGCTGGTTTTAGGGCTGCGGGCAGCGGGTGGGGTTGCGGGGTTGCGGGGTTCCGCGGGGCTGCGGGAACCGGAGGGCGGGGTTGCAGGGGGTGGGGCGTGGGGGTGCGGGTAGCGGGGTTCGGTGGTCGGGGTGCGGGAAGCGGGAAGCGGGGGGGGGTGCGCGAGCGGTGGCAGGGGTCGTTGCACGGGACCGGGGTTCTCGTGGGGGTGTGGGGGCGGTGGCGGTGGTGAGATGCGGCGACAGTGGTCGGGGTGCGAGGTGCCGGGTCGGGTGCGGAGGTGCTCTGCGGGGCCGCGGGCGGGGGTAGCGGGTGGGGTTCACAGGGTGTGGGGTGCCGGGCCTGGGCCAGGTGCAGGGTAGCAGGGCTGGTGTCGCCGGGCTGGGGGTGGGGTTGCGGGGCTGGGGCCGGGGCTCCAGGGTTGGTAGGCGGGGGTTGCCAGGGTCGGGCGGTGGCGGGGGTCGCCACAGTCGGGCGGTGGCGGGGGGCGGCCGCCGTTGGCGGGGGGCGGGGGCCCCCGCCGGCGGGGGTCCCCACGTGACATCCCTGTTCAGAAGCCATTTTTCAGAGGTAACTTGAATACAACGTACATACGTTGTTTTCGGGTTCAGACAGTAGTGTCTGCCTGCAACCATCTTGTCCCTGTCACATTGTGTTTCCTCATTTTGACCAAATTCGGCGGATTTTGTGTATGTGTACTCGACTTCAATCGAATTTGGCTGACAGGTCACTGTCAGGCGACTCACAGCGATGTTCGTAACTGTCATACTTCAGAATGCTTTGTACGGTTTTCCTGCCTCCATTCCCATCAGTCTTCGGACTTTCCCATAACTTGAAAAATAGAGTAGGCAGTGATCACACCAATCCCTGAAGAAAAGAACACAAACAACACGAACTCCAGAGACCGCTGGAGAGTCCGGCCACGTTGAAGCTCCCTTGTCGATGACCGTGTTAAATATCCACCTCTCTCACAGCCACTCCCACTCCCAAGGACCTTCCCTCTCTTCCACCTCGCCACCCCTCTCCCTCTGCGCTGTACCACAGAAGCTACGGCACATGCGTGCCCAGCAGCGCAGCACTAGTGCTGGTTGCGCGGCTCCTGTGCTGTGCTAAGAATGACAGGTCACCTCAGCAAGCAGCCTGCATGGGTCCCCACTCACTGGCCCTGACCTTCCTTTACATTCTGTTGATTTTGAGGCCAAGGTCGACCTGAATCGGGTAGGGACTGCATACCAGCCAGGTCCCTACCACGTAAGGCACTTGGCCTGTTGGAGCTCCGAAAGGACCTAGCCAGCCTAACAGTCCAACACGAAGGTGTAGGGCGTCGCAGAAGTCTGAAGTACTGGGCCAGGATATGTGCGGGAATAATACTTCTGGATGATGTGGCAGCGGCGGCTTATGCATTCACCACTAGAATTCCCCAGAGCTCCTGTGTACACAAACAGGGTCCCACCCTATGACCTGTTTACAACAGGTCACTATGGGCTCTCATTGGCCTGCGTGGGCGTATCTTTACCAACTGATTCCATGACAATGAAATTTGTCAACTGTTGAAAAATGCTTTTCCCATATTAAATTTCCTACAAGATTGTCAGTGCCCCGAGTCCTCGTCCCAAGGTCCCAATGGTCCCAGCCCCATGGAAGACCATTACCGGTCCAAAGTCCCAAAGTCAGTGTCTCGAGTCCTCGTCCCAAAGTCCCAATGGTCCCAGCCCATGGAAGACCATTACCGGTCCAAAGTCCCAAAGTCATTGTGCCAAGTCCTTGTCCCAAAGTTCCAATGGTTCCAGCCCCCTGGCAGTACTGACCCGGCAGGCCCAGCGATCGAAGTGCCATACTTAGGTTCCGTAGGTCGGTTGAAGTCCAGTTGGCCGGGAGGAAGTTTAGGAATGTTAGAACTCTGGTAGGCCCGGTAGGTGACAAGAAAAGTTTGAAGTCCCAATCCAAATCTAGCAGCGGCATCCTGAGAAAGTCCGGTGGGTTGCCCAACTGGCAAAAATGCAGCCGACAGGCCTTGGGAGACCATTACCGGTCTGGAGCCGACAAAGACCTCAATCCACTGCTATTTATAGAACTACAGTGCCCTCAAGAACTCACTTGTCAATTCTTGTGTTGCGGAAGCTCTGCTGAACGCTTGTGGGACCATACAGGGGGACTGGTCAGGGAGATTGAGGAAGAAGCCAACGCTTGGTTTCCATAGCTAGGGCTAGCTAGAAAGGAAGACAACCACCATAGCCAGTAAGGTAGCAAGAGAGAGAGAGGGGAGTGCATTCATAGCGTGAGAGTGAGTAATCCAAGGGAGATGAGTGAGAGACCCAAGAAAGGGAGAAGAGTGAGAGATACAAGAGACGATATATATATATATATATATATATATATATATATATATAGAGAGAGAGAGAGAGAGAGAGAGAGAGAGAGAGAGAGAGAGAGAGAGAGAGAGGTTGATTAACTGGCGACCATAGCCGCATGTACTATGAACTTGGACGTTGGATAATATTGTGGTTTTGGGAGCAATCATTTTGGTGTCTGGCAAGTTGCTATCTCGCTGCCTTGTTCGAGTGACTGTGATAAATTCAGTGCGATGAATGGTTGCGATTGGAGTTTAATTTGAGCTCATTCATTGTGCATCCATTGATCCATTGAAATCCATAAATTTTCAATCATTTTTAATTTTGAAAATCGTAACTATATTGTTCTGATAAACACTCTGTTCCGAAAGAAATCGATTGGTTTAGTATGGTTTGTTCTTTCTTAGTAAAAAATGTGAGGAATATTCATCGTATTTAGCTTCCCGTAGACACAAACGTGAAATTGTGCTTCTTCAACAGTTACAGCAACTTGAGCAGCAAGAACAATGGGAGGATTCACAAGTTCAGTCCCAGAAACAATCAGACGTATTGGCCTTACATCAACAATTGGAATTTCTTGCCACCCAACGATGGGAAGGCGCACGCATTAGGGGCAGACTAGTAGGACATCAGACCGAGGGATCTATGCACAAGAAGTTTTTTGGTCTTGCCCGAGTTCGCACAAGTAGAACGGCGATTGAAGCCTTGTATGATCCTCAACAAGAAGGCGACAATGTGGTAACCTCCACCCCCCAATGTGTCCAGGGGGCGAGGTCCTTTTTTAAGGACCTCTTTACCTCGAGATGTTCTCAACAACCTATGACCATTAGGGAGGAGGAGATCGCGGACTTTCTGAAACCACTGACCAAGTATTTGTCGGCTCACTGGAGAAAACAATTAGAGGGACAACTCTCCCAGGAGGAAGTTCGGACAACATTGAGTCAGATGGACGAGGAAAAGACACCTGGCCTAGATGGATTTCCCAAGGAGTTTTGGAAAGCGGTTTGGGATCAGATTTCTCCGAATTTCATGGACTATTATCACCATGTGTGGGAGACGGGCGACATGGGGGAATTGGTGGGCCAGGGGGTCCTTACTTTACTCCGTAAAAAATGGGGTAAGATGGATATCAGGAATTATCGTCTCATAACTTTGTTGACAGTGGTGTACAAAATGCTCGCAAAGGCCGTGCAAACGGGGTTTATGAAAGAGTGCAGGATCCAGGATAACATTTTATTGGTCAATAAGGTCTTAAGGCTAACCAGACAAGATAAATGTAACGCCGCGGTCGTCTTCATCGATTTCGAAAAAACCTATGACCATGTAAACTAGAACTTTCTGGATAAATGCATGGGAAAAATGAATTTTGGCCCCAATTTTTGAAGATAGACCACGATTCTTCACCGCAATGCCACCACTCGGATCCAAGTTAATGGGGTATTAGCCCCAAAAATTTCTCTCCAAAGATCGGTCCGTTAAGGGAACCCTTTGACCCCCTTCTTATTCATAATAGTGATGGAAGCATTGGTGGCAAACCTTCAAACTAACAAGGATATCAAGAAACTCCGGGTTGCCGTCATTCCTGAGGAAGCGATCCCCGACTTAACAGTCATGGTGAATGTCTCCCCAGAGAATATGGAGGAGATCAGAAGGCTAATGGACAGGTTTACGACAATATCGGACATGGCAATTAATTGGGGAAGCAAGACACTAGGTTGGTGGATTCGTGGTAACTCAGTGGTTAGAGCACCGGAGATGGTGAGGGTGTGTTGAGGTAGGATAGTAGGGGGCTGAGCTAGTGCTAGCGCCCTGATGCCGACAGACCGGTGAGGCCCGCTCCTCCCGGCTAGACCAGTGCCCGGGGAGAGGAGCTCCCTGGCTACTGGGCCTATGGCGCGCGCCCGACAGATGCACGTGGCTGCTTGATTGACCACGTGGCATCAGTTGTTGGTATCGTGGAAGACTGTGACGCGCGGGCAGGGTTAACGCCAACTGTGAGAATGATGAGGACACGTGTTGGGGCGCAACTATCTAGGTTAGAGATGGAGCTGGTGGGGGAGATACAACAAGGATATATAACCTTTGATACTGATGATAATGTCTGGCATACAGAGGATGATGGGCAAGATGAAGTGGACCGTGGAGGTGATCAACTACTTTGCAAATCTTATCGCAATCCACGTGGATGGGATAAGTGGTGATGACGAGCAGGATGAAAAAGACGCCGTCAACTTTGACACTCATGATGACGTCTGGCAAGGAGAGGAAGATGGGCGAGATGAGGTGGATGCGGTCAATTACTTTGCAAATCGCTGCGCAACCTACGTGGATGGGGTAAGTCGTCGGCTCCGAAAATGGTGATCAGGATGATGAAGACGTCGTTGGCTACTTTGCAACCATCAATTCAGTATGTAAGGAGTGCGAATTTGAAAGCGATTGAGTGGGAATATGACCTTGATGATGCAGGAGGGTGGGAAGTGGAGTGGGGGCAGGTGGCAATGGCGAATGCACCGACGACGTCAACAACACAAAAAGTGCTTGCAACAAAGATACCGATAACAACTTCTCCTGATGCTGGTGAGCAGGGGGGGAGGTAGGGCTGATGGTAAAGACTACGACAATAATAACTTATGTTCCTGATGATGTCCCTCAGCCTCAGCAGGCCACTGAAGACAGGGAATATGCTGCCCTTCATGACGCGGACGAGTGGGGGGGGAAGGTGGGGGAGGTGCGGCGGATGGCTTCGATAGTGGAGATGAGAGAGGACGATGTAAGTGACAACAACACTAACAACACCAACACCAACACCAACACTACCACCACCAACAACAAAGACGATGGAAACAACAACATGATTGAGATGGGAGAGAAAGACGACAACAACCTCCTGTCTGAGGTAGGGTTGATGACCACGACTAAGATGGACGAGACGGGAGTGAACGATGTCAGCAACAACAACGACAACGCGGGTGTGCGGGTGGGGGAGGTAGGGTTGATGACTACGGCTGAGATGGATGAGATGGCAGAGAATGACGCCAACAACAATAATACCTATAACAACAACAACGCGGGTGTGGAGGTGGGGGAGGTAGGGTTGATGACTACGGCTGAGATGAATGAGATGGGAGAGAACGACGTCAACAACAACAACAACAACAACAACAACAACAACATGACTACGACTGAGATGGACGAGATTGGAGAGAACGACGTCAGCAACAACAACAACAACGAGATGGGGGAGAACGATCACAGCATCATCAACAACAGTGATACCAACAACAACGGTGAGCAGGGTTGGGGGGCGAGGGGCGAGGAGGGTGAGAAGAACGACATTGACAACAACAACAATGGTGATAACCGCAACAACAATAACAACCATAGCAATAACAACAACAAGAACAACAACAATCATGATAACGACGGCGGCAACAATCGAGGGAGCAATGGGGTGGCGAGTGGGATTTGTGTATCTAAGCTCCCTATTTTTTTCATGAGAAAGATGTCGTCATCGCCACTGTGGGTGGAAATTTGTAGCTTCTTGAGGCGAACAAAGTGGGGTTTGAGGTTGAAGATAAGATTTGTTGCTCCCCCCCACCCCTACCCGGCGCTTTCTTATGCTGATTGTCTCTGTTTCAGGCACCGGGCGGGGATAGGATAGATGACGTCTCTACCAAGATTAGAGTTGATTGCCTCTCATTTATCAACTCTTAATCGTGATAGGATTGCTGAGCATAACGTTCTGTTGTTGCTAGTGAGCATATGACATCGAGTTACATCATTGTATACATGATATATACTTCAGGAACATGAGGTCAATCCTTCCCCGATCTAGGGAAGTATTCAATGCCTCTGTTCTATGCTTCTAGCCTGCTATGGTAGGGTAAGCCTTGAAGGGGATAGACTTTTCTATTCAGGGGACATGCAGTAATCGACGCATCAATCGATGAATGAAGACAAACATTTTGGGTGTTGCCTAATACAGATTGTTGTACATATACATACAGTGTCTGACTATGGACGTTGTAGATTAGATGCATAAGACATAGTTTTACACCACTGTATAGGGACGCTGAATCCGATTTCCGGCTGACATACATCACACTATTGTAATACACATCACATCAGGGTTTGATAAATTGGGCTCGATGCTAGATACTGTTGAGTATATGGATAAATGCTTCCATCATTTGACATATAGTGTTTAACATGCATACATAGGTAGTCGGAGATATCTACATTTCTCAATAGGGATGCTGGACCCCCATTCCAATTGAGACACTCACATCCTTGTACAGGGACGTTGGACCTGATTCCCAACAGATTCGTTGATATCATTGTACAGGGCCGCTGGACCCGATTTCCAGCCGGTGTAGCTCCCCACCAATAGATGGACCGCTGGGATCTACTTACCGGGGATGCTCTTATCACCTCGTTAAGTAGGCTTCCTGTATACGAAGTTTCCATTAAAAAAAAAAAAAAAAGGTCGATGGATTTGTCACCAAGGCCTGCACCCCCCTGAGCTGCCACGGGTCAAATAGGTGCCAGAGACGGCCCTGATTAGAGTATTGGGCATCATGTTGACAACCTTAGGCCACAAGTCGGTGTCCAACGATGATTTTATTTTGAAACCCGCACTTGAGAAAATTACCCAGTGGAATGACAAACACACATTGCTGATGGGATGAGCGCTGGCTATCAACAACGTGGTTTTGGATTCGCTCAGATACAAGTCGACAATATGGGCCTTCAGCAAGGAAGCTGTGAGAGCTTTAAAGAGGCAAGTGGCCGCACTACTATGGAGAGGGGATAAGAGCCTCCCTAACGTCATTAATAGAGTGGTGTGGTCGTCAGTCATTTAACCCAAGGACAAAGGAGGGTTATGGATTCTCGATCCTATCATGCAGATCACAACATTGACAATACAATGGATCAAGAGGCTCATATTTACTCCCCTCCTTTCGTGGCGTGCCATGGCTTTGGAACAGATCGCAAGATTGCCCCCCAGGTCCCCCGGGAGGTGGATCCCCTGTCCTGGTTAGAGGACCGTTTCTGGACTATTCCACGATACTCTAAAACCCACGAGGTTTCTGATCGTGGGATGGCCAGAACGGACTTGACCAAGGATTGTTTTTGGGTCAAGGGCTTGCACGCATGGTGCCAACTCCCGCTGAAAAAGGATACCGGAAAAATGGGAAGAAGTGGTGAGACAACCGTTTTTTGGCAATACAAGTGTCAATGACCCAAATGGGAGAGTATAGTGTAGTTTCATCCTTCCATGGAACTGTTGGGTGAGGAGAGGGGTAACAAGAATCCGGGACATATGGGATGGTGACGAAAGAACATGGAAAATGACACATCAATTGAGGTCCAGCTTGAAGCACTGTCATCACATTGAACAAAATCTGAATCAGTTAGTTTTTTCTATTCCCTTGGATTGGGTGCGCATTTTGCGAGGGGGGAGAGATTCCGGAAAGAGGACTGGGTAGCATCAGCGGGGGATAGTGAGAATGTAGGTAGGGTGATGGAGGTATGGGAGGAAGAAGTGTTGGTAATCCTCTTCCACCGGGAATCGGATAATTGCCTCGTAAGGCACCCACACGATGGGAAGAAAAGGTGGCAGAAGGTGGACTCGTATAAAATTAGGGTAGTGGGGGAACAATGTGAATGGGTAACTTTCCTTCCAGAAACCCCGCCTGCCAAACTCCCCATTGACCCGTTGGAATGACAATGAAATTCGTCCGACAGAATAAGATCCAGAAAAAAGTAAGAAATTGTTTGATCTATCTGTGAAAGCTACCTACCGGCTTCTCAGGCCTCGGGTTGACCTTAAGAGCACCATGCGGGAGCGCTGGATATCCCATCTAAATGTGGGAAGGGATTGCCTCTGCCCCATTTGGTGGTTCACCGCCGTAAAGGCCAGACCGACAAAGATGGTCTCCCTGCAATGACAGATAGAACACCGCTGCTTCCCCACGAATGATTGGTTGATTGATTGTACATATTTGGAACAAAAGGGTTTAGCCACACTATGGTGTACGTCCTGTCTGACAACCTTTCCTGCCCGCAAGATCCCCGAGACTATAGAGCATATTTTTCTGCAATGTCTAGAGGCGGTCCTTACCTGACGCTGGTATGAGTGGCCGTGGCCCGTGGGACTGGAGAGTGCTTCTGTGTGAAACATGGTTCACCTCTACGAACAACACTTTTGAAGAGAACATATTCAAGATCGGGAGGAGATTATTTGGGCACTTTGGAGGAAACACTGTATATTATCTATTGAGAAAGTAAGAATAAAGGGTGCGGAAATGACTGAGCTAATTAAACAATATGTTTAGGAGGACTTACAATACATTGGCAGAGCGTGAAATCTAACTGGATCGAATTCATACCAAAAAAGACATAACGCAGGCCATCAAGCAATTCTCAAGGGATTGGCTGGGAAGTGACCAGGGGGGCAGAATGACTTATGTTCGTTGGGAAGGGGACAATATCCTAGAATGCGGAGAGGATAATATGAGACGAGACTATATCATTTGTTTTCAAGATTGGACTAAGGTGGATGCAGCAATACTGTTGCGGTCCCTCTTGGACTTCCCCGATGCCTTTCCACCCCATGGTCTGTCAATGGTGGATCTCCAGTGGTATGGAGAGCGGAGTGAGGGAGATACAGTTATAGCGAAGACACGGGAGCTAGAAGGTCTCATACCTTGGATGCCCAGCAACAGGGCTGAAGAGGCCCCTTTTCCTCCCTATTTGAGCTTGCTTAGTCAATCCCCTGTCTTCAGGGTAATCAATGCTAGCAGCTTGGAAGACAGACAGAAACATCGCAGCGTGATTGGAATGGTTGTTGTGTAAGGGACGTTGGACCCGATTTCCAGCATATGTTGCTCCCCACCAATAGTTGGAGCCTCCCAGGCTATGTAACACCCGCGGACGCATCCGCGGGTCCAATCTCGGATGGCGGACGCAGACGGGTCCGCATCCGCGGCCTACCGGGTCCGCGCCGCGGACCCAATTTTACCAGAATTTTCCTGAATTAAATAATAGGTTAAAAAAAAAAAAAAGGGGTTGTAGGGAATTTTAAGCCTTACAACCCCATTTTTTTTTTTTGGAATCCGAATTTGTTTCGGATTTTTTAAAAA